CCTAGTAGTTTTTTTAGTCGAATGATTTCGCGGAGAAAATAAAAATTGATGTTTCTCGCTATTCTATTATTTTTAAAGCAAATTGCCCTCGCATACAATTTAAATATATGTTTACAAGCACATTCGCACTAAGATAGGAGTTTATCACAGTTGAGAAATCATTAATTTTGTTGACCACTTGTTAAAAATAATATAAAATGGGATATTTGACTGAAACCAAATGATTTTCCTGTTTTTAATCACTGTACGAAATTATTTATCAAAATGGATATTGTAAACAACTAAATGGAGAAACTAATCAATAGTAATATAAAAGGCTATTATAAACTTTTCGTAATTAAAAAAAAAAATGTGTAGTTTATGTTATATTTTATTTTCTTATTTATTTATGTAAAGTTTAATTATAATTTAACAACAAAGATTTTTTCAATGTTTCATATTATAACAAAATAATACAACTAGTTATATCCATTCGATTTTAAAATTACTCTTTACAAGTTTACTACATTTATTTATTTTTTTTTTAATTATATAATTTACGGTCAAATTTAATAAACTATGTTAAAAATAGTAGTAAGTTAGGGAACTTTGAGCAATTTATATGTGTGCACTACCCTAGTGCTAAATTAAGTCTGCATAAAATATTTTCAATTATTAATTATCGTATTTATTTTTTTGTCAGATTGTACATTTTTTAACGAAACTTAATATGAAATTGAAAAATCCTGAGTTAATTTTGTTGTAGTAAAAACTGGATCGAATAAATGCTACTTAAACAAAGTTATAATTTCTAGATATTCATGGTTATTTTTATACAACTTTTTAAACATTTTGTTCAAGTCATAAAAATTAAGATATTTTTAAAAGACATATGCTTTTTCGAAAAAAATAAAATTTTAATACTATTAGTGATTTTATTTTAAATAGCCACCAAAGAAAAATTAAAAAAAAAAAATAAATAAATTTTCACATATTTACATTTTATGTGTAATAAATTATAAATACTTTGAACACTCTGAAGTAATTACAAAACATGACAGTTATTGATGTAATTTAAGTATTAAAATTACGAAATATCTTAGGAAACAAATATTTTATCATTTAAACAACTAAAAATTATGAATAATGTATTTTTATACCTATTTATAAATATAAAGCTTTATTTAAAATCATACAAATTATTTCACAAAAAGATAGTTAATCTTATGAAGCTGTCAAATATCTTTTAAACTGAATCTAAAACGATTGTTCTTATTGCATACTTTTGATTTTTAAAATTTTAGTTTCCATGCGAAGTTGAGAAGGTATTAATTTTATTATGTGTTTTTTTTTTTTTGTGTCTGTTACCACTTTTCCTCAGATCTCACCAAACCGATTTCTTTCAACGATACGTCAAATCGTATCTAGTCGAAGACATTACCCTCAAAAATTGAAAAAGTTTCCTTTGTTCCCTGTAAATGGGGGAAACCTCAAAAAAAATTACAAATTTAAAAATCGTTAATTTTCGAAATTTTTTCAATTTTTTTTTTTTCTTAAAACTGCCATTACTTTTTCAAAAACGAACAAATCAATATAATTTTTTTTTATAGATGCTTGATGTCTTTACCTATCATTTGCTATATTTTTTTTATAAATCTGACCCTTTATCTGCCACAGAAAAAAATTTTAGACTTTATTTTGTCTTTACGGTGAAAACAGACACCAAAATTAATAAAAAAAAAAATACGATTTTTGTAAAAAAATTCTTTTTTATGTTTTTAACTTAATAATGTTATAATTTTTTGAAAAATGTATGGATCATTATACTTTTTTTAAGATAAGTACTATTTATATTTATATATTATTAATATGTATATATATATATACATTTATTTATTCATATATTATACTTATAAATCATAAAACTTGTAATCAGAATATACATAATGAAATAGGAAATCATGTAGCTTTTGGAATAATCCACCAATTTTTTAAAATTAAACACTATCTACAGACATGCATCGAAGCGTTTTTTATGATAGTGATTTTAATCACTGTCAGATATCATCTATACCGGACCCAACTATGCGACATCCCCACTGTACTGGGTTTTTTTTATTAATAACTGTTTTACTACTCGTGAAATAATTTTTTGTTTGGTGTAATTTGCTAATCATACGTCATCTAAAAGTTTCATTTTTCTTAAAACAACTTTAATTAATTTTGTTATTTTTCATTTTGTTCTAAATAATATTTCAATCGATCAACCTTGCCAATCTTTTACAAATTTTTTGTGGTTATTTCTATTCATTGTAACTTTACTTTAACTCAGCACATTAGCAGTGTTTATGACATAAAATCAATGGAACAATTTTCATCAAAATTATTCGCATTAATTTATTTAAATAAAAAAATTATAATTAATTTATATATTATTTTGTACGCATTGTTGAATTTTCTCTGTTTTAAAACTTAAGTTCACCTAAAAAATCGATCATAGTTATTTATTATACAGCAAATGCATATTAATACACGAATTCCGCAAATCATTCGACTCAGAAAAAGTGTAAAACTGCATGAACTCTTTTCGAAAAGAACGACTCAGAACTGTTAATTAAGGGAGAAATAATAATATTATTAAACTGCTTTAATAAATATCGTCGTATTTACCGTGTAAATTTACCTATACATCTCATCTGAGCATTTTATTCGTTACCGGCAGCTGTAAGTAGCTTAGTTTCATGAATGCGTCATTAGCGACTAAAATATTAAAAGCACTAATGACTGTGTACAGCAAATGTGTTTGTGGTGACAAGACGGTATCCAAAGTAGGATGCTCAAAACGAGATATTATCTATGGCTTACATGTATAAGTCATATACATGTTGTGTATTCACACACTTACTATTATAATTAGTATTATTATTAAGACTTTGCGCAGACACATATACCGAACATGATGATTTTACTTTTTATTATTAACTCGGCTGTCAACTTAATATTGACGGAATAATAACTTTTCGTTTGATAGACCATGTCACTAGTTACAAAAGTTTAAAGTATCTTTACATCACGTTCAAATGTGATCAATAAAAAATTTTAGTGAACGTTGTTATATTAACACAAGTGTTTCGGTAGGCGTTTTAATATGCGAAATGAAAAATATACAAGTAATATCGTTTTACTGCGAATAAAAACGAAGGATTCGGTCATGGAAAGAGAAATAAAGCAAATAAATCGAAGTCGAACAAAAATTAATTACTGGTGACGACGTACGCAGTATATCGTAATAAAAAGGACGTAATAATATGAAAAACAAAAATGTATATTGTATGTTTTAACATTGTGTTTATTTTTTGCTTTCGGTGACGGTAAGACAAGTAAAAATTAGCCAATCGAGTTGGCTTATAAATTAAATCGGACGTTTTCAATTAAATCGTGAAAGTTTGTTTTCGATACATGTGTTTTCATGTGCTAGCGCCCCGAGGACATTGGTTTTTCGAAAAGGGATAGCCGCGGCCGACCGCCGCTTTTCCGCCCCTACCTTTAGTCCACAACCACACCATATACCCGCGGAGGCGTCTCTCCCATATAAATCAGATCGCTCGTTGCTGTACCCTTTAATTTGCCCGAAGCCAATGTGCATATGAGTGTATAGGGGTTTAATTCGATTCCGAATCACGATTAATTAATGCGGTTTTCGACGATTGGGAAACGGCAACGTTGAGCTGTTGCTGTGTATTGTGTGCGGCTACGGCTGCCTTGTGCGCCACGCGTTAACCCCTAAAAAAGTAACAGCTAATAATCAAACTACCAGGTTTTTTTTTTCGTAGAAAAAGTATTTCGTTTTTAGCCAACCAAACAGATTTCTTTTTACCTTTGTTTTGTTTTCACTACACAATCGTCGTATTGAGTGTGGCAAATTTCTCTGAAGGTAAATCGACTTTAATCAAAATTTACATTTAATGTACTCATTTGTTAGAGTACGTCTGTAGGACGTATTAAAGTGTGTACGATTATATTTTCATTCATCTTGAATACAGTGGAAGCTATTATAGAGTTCCCGCCTTGAGTTATTTACTACAACTTGGGTATTAACTATGATGCATATTTCAAAATGTATGTTTTAAACCAATGCATCCGTATAGAACATCTAATTGAACCACATAGAATAGGTGAAAAAGTAACATAAGAAAAGCTACTTAAAAACGTTGAACAGCTTTTGTAAATATACTAGAATGCGTTTAATGTTGCTAGTCTTTTTATATCAACTCAATTAATTGGCGTGTTTGGCTCGTTATGCATTCAATCGCTCTCGGTTCTTCATTGTATCAATTATCCTACCACCACTTGGGAAACGAACCAACAGAGTCGGGCTCTCGCCAATGAAATTCCAAAGAATCCACCCCGCAAATTATATTGAAAATGTTTTTAATGGTATCAAATTAGCGCATTACGCAGGTTGATTAAGTAAAATAAAAACTGTAAAATAGGTACGTACTTTCTACACTATTGCTATTAAATAATGAGGAAAAAAATAAAACTAAGAATGAATTTGTCAGTAACACAAACCATATGATATGTCTTAATGATATACGACGAATCGTCTGTTCAAGACTAATCATACAGCAAACGACTAATTACATTAGCTATGTAATGTCTTTATTGTTACTAACAGCATCGTCATTATTGCTTCAGTTTTATTGCTACAAAGTTTTGCTTTCTATGAAACGCCAAGACAAACGAGTTGCGCTCGGGCAGTACGTGAAAAATCAAAACAAAGTGAAATATCAATTTAATATCTCTTGCGGCGACCGAAAGCGGTTGGCCGCTTTGTAAGCCCTACAACATTAGGCAGCCACTGCCAATATCGGTGGCTTTTTTCACTGTCGAGCACGCGAAATACCGTAATATATTGTTGGAAATCACTTAGACGGTTTTAATAAATAAAGTGTAGCGTTGTGAAACAAAAATAAATGATAACGACAACAGCAGTAATAATAACATGGTGTTTGTTTCAGCCAATGGTTTCGAGCCGGATTTCTTGTTTCCTCTGGAGAACGTGACCATAGCCCAGGGCCGTGATGCTATTTTCACGTGCGTGGTGAACAATATCGGCGGTAACAGGGTGAGTGCTCCTGAAGGCGACTTCACACCAGCCAGGGTCGGTATCAGTAACGATTTTTATTCCAATAACTCTTCGCACACTGGCTTCGTTTATTCACCAGCAACGCACATCGATCAATTTGACGATAATGTATTAGAGTCATAATTTATTGTTGTGTTTTCCACTGTAAATGCCGACAAACACAGCAATGAATTACAATACACTGCACCGAATTAATAAACAATATCATGTTCCTCGCATGCCAACCTCTAAAATTTTGTTACATTTAGAAATGTATTTTACTCGACAACTATGTATTTTTGTAGTAACATACCTAAGTGCAGCTGTGTTTTGATGCACTTTATGAACGTTTTTAAAAATGTCAGTCATATGAATTGTGTTACGCCTTCTGTATACTTTTCAAATGACTTGATTTTTACCGTAAACAAATCAAGTCTTAAAACAACTGAATTCCTATGATTTAATCGAAATTATAATTATTGGAAAATGTTTAATTACTCGCACGCACAGAGTGTCCGACCATCTTTCATTACTTTTGAAACAGCGCATATTTATTTTTTAAATAATTTTTACAATTTTGGATTACTTTAAATGCATATTTCCTACTATTTGTCTATAATAATACGGAAAAATAAAAATATTTATTTTAATTTTTTTTTTTTTTTGTCTTACTCTTTTCTTACAAAATTTTTGACGGGCAGATAACAACTTTAGAATAAGTATTTATTGAGTTACAAACATTTTAATCCGTAGAGTGAGTATGTTGCACGGTTGGGTGCACTGGTGTATGTACCCTCCGCCTACACTACAGACCCTCTCTACGTATTAAAATGCCTATAAGTCAATAAATACTTATCCTAAAGTCGTTATTGACCCACCAAAACGTTTCTTAGAAAAATGCTAAAATTGGCTATTTTGGAATTTCAAAAAAATAAATTCTGGTTTTTATTATTATAGACAAATAATAAAAATATGCTTTTAACGTAGTCCAACAAAACTGTAAAACTTATTTTTAAAAAAAGTAACGCAAAATATTCGGTGATTCGAAAATGATAAAAAATGTCAGATCGCGGTGGGATAGTTTTCCAAACTAATCACATTTTTTTCTTAATTCCGTCCTTCCTACATTCTTCCACGTATATTCAATAAGTATCATCATCAACTTTGCCGAGTGTCTATTCAAATAAGCGATGCAAATAATTTTTCGATCCATTTAACACGATGAAAACATTAATTTTTAGTTTCATGCGTAATGGTAAATGTCATTTGAGTTATCTATCAAGTTATAAATTTATTTTTTCATTTACCGCTTTTAAGATTTATGTAGTAGTCATTGGATGCCATTTTTTAATCCGAGCATATAAATTAAAGGAAAGTCTTTAATAATATAGAATAAAAATTGTGTTTTAAATTAGTAAAATAAACAATAATGATTTCGTTGACACAACACGCTTAATTATTCCTGGAGAAAAATATTTTTTAAGTTTTAATTTATTGCAATCAAATTTTATAAAATTATTTTAGTATCAATTCCAAAAAATAATCCATTTTAGAACAATTTAAATTACCGTAATGTTCAAACACACAAAAAACTTCTTATTTTGAGCTTATTCGTTTATATTTTGATGAATGTGTTACCACAAAACGTTGTCGAGTTTACATCTAAGACGTGCGTTATAACTCTTGTACTAATATTTACTTCAGTAAAACATAAATGATTAATTTTCAAAGTAAGGTATTGTAGTCTTAATGGCTCTCCGAATTCACAACATATCACAGTAGTGTAACAACTACTATTGCATATCATACAAATAATTTATCAACATTAATTTAAAAATTGTTATTTACTTTTCCTAAATTAAACTCATTTAAAACGTGCTACAAATTATGATCGCCTAATTAATTGTTTGTTATGAATAAAAAATTATAATCTTTGAACGGCATGGTGAGAATGTTACAATTGCTAACGAGTTTTACCTCTCCGGAATAATTATGTAGTCGAGTGATTTACTACACGATGTGAGTATTATCTAAGAGAATCGAAATGACGCTAGTTTTTTAACATTCGATCTACTGTAAATAAAAGTAAAAAGTTGTTCCAGTACAGTAAAAACATACAAATTCGTTACGTCGTCGACCAGTATATTTGTTGTACAGCTCAAGTAGAAGTATAATATTATTTCGGATTTAATAAGAGTACGCACTCACTGCCGTTATTATTTATTATAACGTAATGTGTCCGACTTGTGTTGGCACTTCCCGTACTTCTATTTATTGGTAAATCGTTATGGTTTATATATATATACTCTTCAAAAGTCAATAAGGTACCACATTATTATTTGAAAACAATTTTTTCCAATCGTACGAGCTTACCGGAGTACACTATTATCCGTATCTACAAAAAACGTAACATTCACATAGGAACATGACTGAGTATACATGTCGTTGAGACGTGCCGGAGATCGAAAAAAACAATGTTTTTCTTTTTACCGACCGTGTGGTTATAACATTATAACGTTCCGCCCATTGTTTACATTGCGGGTCGATTTCAAAACACTTGCTCTGAGCACAACACATCCTTTGCAAATCGATCGCGTCTCGAGAAAAAAAAGGTTTATAAAAAAATTTAATGATTTCGCCAACGAGTTTAGATGAAACACCTTAACGGACATCAGTTTGCGTAATTCGCGAAGACCAATTCAACGGCAGAGAAATAATTATTCGTTAAAGGCCTTGCGTTACCTAAGCTCTTTTTAGCCAGTTGCGATAAACGGCTTGCACTGTACGGGTGTATTATATTTGGTCATACCGTAACCTCACACTCGCCTGATGCGCCTACGTTTCGCTTAAGCTGTACGCCGTTCCGTTAAAGGAATGTTGCCGAAGAGTTTCGTAATTATTTTACGCCTTGAAACGTAACAACAGTAGCCAAAAAACCTCTTCCGCCGAGTCAACCGCAGCAACGGAAGCGGCATTAACCGTCTTTCATTATAAACTTCCTCAACACGTTGATCCGCTTATCGGCTCACGCATCGCCGATCACCGACGTATGATCGCATCGATTCGAATTGAAATAACGAAAACTTTGCTCGCTCCGCCTCGCAAAATTATTGAGACGGCTCAAGGTGGACGTCCTCGTCCCGTTACTTTACCCGAATGTCACCGCCACATACGGTTAGTTTTTCAATCCTTTTGAGGAAACTCGCTGAATAAATCTGCATAAGAGTACACGCCTACCTCCGTACGAGTATTAGAACACGTAAGTCCTTTATAAGTCTGTAGTACTTCTGTTTTATGATTAACAATACGCTCTTGTCAGATAGTAAGTTCTAATTAAACGATTCCAAGCATTGTTACCGTTTATAAAATCAGTATCAATGCATAGACAAATTAAGCGTTCATTGAGTATCTATTTGGATGACTAAAGCATTTGATTTTTACAATGCATTTCCGGGAATATACACAATCTTAAAAAAAAAAACTGTACCATTGATACATCAGTCTGAAGCANATCAATTCCAAAAAATAATCCATTTTAGAACAATTTAAATTACCGTAATGTTCAAACACACAAAAAACTTCTTATTTTGAGCTTATTCGTTTATATTTTGATGAATGTGTTACCACAAACGTTGTCGAGTTTACATCTAAGACGTGCGTTATAACTCTTGTACTAATATTTACTTCAGTAAAACATGANAATTACCGTAATGTTCAAACACACAAAAAACTTCTTATTTTGAGCTTATTCGTTTATATTTTGATGAATGTGTTACCACAAAACGTTGTCGAGTTTACATCTAAGACGTGCGTTATAACTCTTGTACTAATATTTACTTCAGTAAAACATAAATGATTAATTTTCAAAGTAAGGTATTGTAGTCTTAATGGCTCTCCGAATTCACAACATATCACAGTAGTGTAACAACTACTATTGCATATCATACAAATAATTTATCAACATTAATTTAAAAATTGTTATTTACTTTTCCTAAATTAAACTCATTTAAAACGTGCTACAAATTATGATCGCCTAATTAATTGTTTGTTATGAATAAAAAATTACAATCTTTGAACGGCATGGTGAGAATGTTACAATTGCTAACGAGTTTTACCTCTCCGGAATAATTATGTAGTCGAGTGATTTACTACACGATGTGAGTATTATCTAAGAGAATCGAAATGACGCTAGTTTTTTAACATTCGATCTACTGTAAATAAAAGTAAAAAGTTGTTCCAGTACAGTAAAAACATACAAATTCGTTACGTCGTCGACCAGTATATTTGTTGTACAGCTCAAGTAGAAGTATAATATTATTTCGGATTTAATAAGAGTACGCACTCACTGCCGTTATTATTTATTATAACGTAATGTGTCCGACTTGTGTTGGCACTTCCCGTACTTCTATTTATTGGTAAATCGTTATGGTTTATATATATATACTCTTCAAAAGTCAATAAGGTACCACATTATTATTTGAAAACAATTTTTTCCAATCGTACGAGCTTACCGGAGTACACTATTATCCGTATCTACAAAAAACGTAACATTCACATAGGAACATGACTGAGTATACATGTCGTTGAGACGTGCCGGAGATCGAAAAAAACAATGTTTTTCTTTTTACCGACCGTGTGGTTATAACATTATAACGTTCCGCCCATTGTTTACATTGCGGGTCGATTTCAAAACACTTGCTCTGAGCACAACACATCCTTTGCAAATCGATCGCGTCTCGAGAAAAAAAAGGTTTATAAAAAAATTTAATGATTTCGCCAACGAGTTTAGATGAAACACCTTAACGGACATCAGTTTGCGTAATTCGCGAAGACCAATTCAACGGCAGAGAAATAATTATTCGTTAAAGGCCTTGCGTTACCTAAGCTCTTTTTAGCCAGTTGCGATAAACGGCTTGCACTGTACGGGTGTATTATATTTGGTCATACCGTAACCTCACACTCGCCTGATGCGCCTACGTTTCGCTTAAGCTGTACGCCGCACCGTTAAAGGAATGTTGCCGAAGAGTTTCGTAATTATTTTACGCCTTGAAACGTAACAACAGTAGCCAAAAAACCTCTTCCGCCGAGTCAACCGCAGCAACGGAAGCGGCATTAACCGTCTTTCATTATAAACTTCCTCAACACGTTGATCCGCTTATCGGCTCACGCATCGCCGATCACCGACGTATGATCGCATCGATTCGAATTGAAATAACGAAAACTTTGCTCGCTCCGCCTCGCAAAATTATTGAGACGGCTCAAGGTGGACGTCCTCGTCCCGTTACTTTACCCGAATGTCACCGCCACATACGGTTAGTTTTTCAATCCTTTTGAGGAAACTCGCTGAATAAATCTGCATAAGAGTACACGCCTACCTCCGTACGAGTATTAGAACACGTAAGTCCTTTATAAGTCTGTAGTACTTCTGTTTTATGATTAACAATACGCTCTTGTCAGATAGTAAGTTCTAATTAAACGATTCCAAGCATTGTTACCGTTTATAAAATCAGTATCAATGCATAGACAAATTAAGCGTTCATTGAGTATCTATTTGGATGACTAAAGCATTTGATTTTTACAATGCATTTCCGGGAATATACACAATCTTAAAAAAAAAAATTGTACCATTGATACATCAGTCTGAAGCAAAATAGCATTCCTAACAAAGATGTCCGATATCTTGAGCGTTTCGATTGTGAACCATTAAAATCGCTAATAAATCATTCCGCNATATCTTGAGCGTTTTGATTGTGAACCATTAAAATCGCTAATAAATCATTCCGCAGTTGTGTTTTATTTTTTTTTTTGTCATCCTATCGATTGTCATACACAGTAAAATTAACATGTTTTGCCCGGAAATAGAAATGACACCGAAAATGATACTAGAATCTCTTAAATAATTACAGGGAAAAAATATCAAAGTAATAGATGTTTGTAAAAACAGATTGAAAATATATATATATTTCCTTAATACAATTAGTTACAATAAATCGTAATGTTTTTCGAACAATGTGTATCTGAAATTTATTGATAAAAATAATCATGTCAAAAAATATTGTTTTTTAAATAGTCAACAAATTAAGAAATAACACACAATATAATTAAAACGAAGAATGAAGAAATTACACAAAAAGCAATCGCCTTATTTGTTAAAATGTTTTGGAAATAATATGAAAGCAAAGTAATGATTTTGTATTAAAATGTGAGTCATATAATGACTTTGAAACCATTCAATCGAACACTATAATATTTTAATGGGATTAAATTTATTTTTCGTTCTGCAGCTTTCATAATCACCAAATCGAAAAATAAATGACAAATTATAAAAAGTATCGCATCATTCAGTGTTATCGTTAATAGCTAAAAACAATATTCTATTATCTTTCATAGCTTTAAAGTATATTATATTTTAAAAACTTTATCGATACATGAATTTATATTGTTAATTTAATAAAAACCAATGAATCGTATTCAGCTAAAATTTAACTAAACACATCATGATAAATATTATTTACAAGAATCTTTATTAAAATGATTACACGGTTTAATTGTTTTGTCTAGAAACTTGAATTATCGCGGTAACTACGAGCACAAACTTACAATAAATGTCATGCTATTAAAACATTGTTACGCATTTAACAAATCCAATACACGTCTGTGGTATACTCGGTAAGGTTTGTGTACATGTGTATTATGGCCTCGTTATTCTCGTTTTGAAATGTATTGTGTCATGGCGTCTGACCCTATACGACCGAAGTGTTAAGCAAAGGAGACTAGATAATAGGAGTGTGTACACAACAATAATATCACGATGATGATTCCACTCCAAAAGCTTGTTCTCGGCATTATATTTTCAGTCGGGCTGCCCCCCCCCTACCTATTGGCCGACACTTCTGTCCCTCAGACCATATTCTCGTGACAAACGGTGTTCGCTGTTTGTTTTATCCGCAAGTTTGTGGCGGTAGGGTCGACGTCCCTGTACGACCATCAACGATGCATGTCATTTTGTCAACCGTTGGTGTTGTGCCGTAAAGGACATTTCGTCGTAGAACGTTATTCAGTTTATATGGTATTTTTACACCAAGCACTTAAATTTTTTTTTTTTTTTTAAGGAATTAAATTGAATACCACAACAACCTCTTGAAACTCGCTTTCGATTCTCGAGTATAAAATAATAATGATTTTTATCAGTTTTAGACCTATGTAATTTCAAACTTTCGGTAGGCACTTTAAAAAGTATTTAACTTTATAAGTCTAATATCTTTATTTCTTTAAAACTTTCACACTTCTATTGTTTACATTTTTCAATACGTTATTTTTAAATAAGTAAAAGTACGTTTCAATTGTTATCTGGTCAAAATAGGTTTTTGTGTAGCTGTTTTTTTTTATTTTACCATAAGAAAACAACTATTTCTACGACTTATGATGACTGCACTGAGACTTGATAATAATAATATTTTATTGGAGAATCGTCCAAGTTAATTTGTTGCTCAAATTTTAATTCGTCTTAAAAATCATTACTAGAAAGTGCTGAACAATTTAAAAGTATTACGCGCCTTAAAAATATAAGGTCAGAGGGGGTGAATCGTCCCAGAAGGTGGAACGGGTTTAACAATTGCAGAATCGTATAAATGTGTTTTTGATCGGATCGTCATAAGCATACCTTAACAACAGAAACTAGAAGTGTGAGGCAGAAAAAAAAAAGGAAAAAACGGGCTGCTCGTGCTGTGAGTCCTAATGGCGCGGTAAGTCGTATTGAAAGTTTTGCAACTTTTTTCGTATGCCTGGACAAATAGCGATCGACCCAATTTTCTCCCCGCCCGTTGTTCGCAGCCAACGAAAAGTGTATACAATTTCAAAGGTAAAGGTATACACCTAAGAAAAAAAATACATACGTATATATATTGCGCTCGATGCCAGCGGACTGCGAAGACTTCGATAACGTAAACAGATAAACGTAACGGAGAATTACCAAGGCGATTTTCTCCTGCATCTTGTTGTCTCGGTGGCGGAATCCTCATTCCTAACGCATTTCTCAATTTCCTTTTTCATCAACTCGCCCCCTCGTCTCCTCCAGAACACTGCGAATACATCCTGCCTTTGGAAAAGAAACGTATCTCCGGCCAAACAGATAGCAAAGGCTAAAAGAAACACTGTGCATATTACGTACTCCATTCCGTCGCTGATCTTTCGACGGCCGCCGTTTTGAATTTAAATAATAATGATAATAATTATATCTGATGAACATTACATGAAATATTTGTGTTCATAGGAATCTTTCGTGGATTTGTGACTTAAACAAATGGGTTGTCTAACCAAAACGCCGTCGCGATCAACGCGCTCGTTCGTTAACGTACCGAGACAGCCGTTGAGAGACCCTCAAAAGCAATTTTAAGAATAACATACACATACATGTCCTTGGAGTACAATAAACCCGTACTTCAATTTTCTCGATTCAATTTAAATCAACCCAGATCCTAAATTATCCACTTGTTTGTCAAATAATGGTAAAAATAACTTAAAACAAAAGAAAAAAGCCCACCCAAAGTTACGTTCAAATGTTTTTATTTATTCATGAAATCTCAGTATGATCTTATCAAATAGGCGGTACAATTTATTTCAACGAAAACGCTATTGTTAATATTAATATTATTATTATGATGACGTCGTAATGTATAATGCTAGGAAAAGGTGTATCAAACAGGGTAAAATATTTATAATTTTCTTCCTTTCCTACTTGCAATAAAATAATAAATATTGTTGCAAAATAATAACGACGTACTCTAACGCAAGTTGCAAATACTTGTCTGCGACAAACATATTTTCAGTTTTAAGTGCACACATTTTAAGTGTTCAGTTGTTTTACATTTTTTAAATGATCAAGTTCAACTTACATACCATCGTCTCCTAACAAGGAACACGTATTTTTTTCGCAATTATACCAACTGCACTTCGCCGATTAAAAGACACAAAAAATATATATCTATAATATTATCGCCTTGAATACATGCTAACGTATCCTTTATGTTTGCCTATTTCCTCTCGAAACTTAAATTCCATTACCTAATGGATTTTCGTCCTGCTGCGTTGAATATCTTTTGACCTGATAATGTAGCAGATCGTGATTTCAATACACAATAAACAATATCATATGCATGTTATTATTATGATTTTATATTCACTGTAATGTACTTATTTGTATGAATATGTTAACATATATTTACTGAGCACATTTTTATTATTATAAAAATGAAACGCACAAATTGTAAAACTTATTTACTAAGGTAGAATGAAAAATGCACCAATAGTACGGACAACACTGATCTATTTGCTATAAGATTAATTAATAAAACAATTTTTTTTTCAAAAATGAATAAGTAAATGAATTTAAATGTAAAATGTAAATGAATAAGTATAAGATAAGTATTAGAAAAATTAGTTTTAATACTTATCAAATGCTGGACACTAGCAAATCGATCGGTCAATTCCGATGTTTGTCTCACAAATTAAATTTAATAATATCGTACTCTCCTACGATAATTTGACATAATATATCAGCTCTTTAATTTTACTCTTAATTCAATGGATTTCAGGTAGCTTGGATTAAAGCCGACACTAAGGCTATATTGGCTATTCATGAACATGTTATCACTAATAATGAGAGGTTGTCGGTCACGCACAACGATTACAACACGTGGACGTTAAATGTGCGGACGGTCCGTAGAGAGGATCGTGGCACATACATGTGTCAAGTTAACACAGACCCGATGAAAAGCCAAGTAAAATACAAGAGCTCTTGACAATTAACTAAAATACTTATCTATTTATCTCATTATTTTACACTTAAGAGCGCTTTTCTCGAAGTAGTCATTCCTCCGGATATAGTTTACGAGGAGACATCCGGTGACATGATGATACCAGAAGGCGGTTCGGCCAAATTAGTGTGTAAAGCGCGTGGGTATCCAGAACCAAAAATACTGTGGCGAAGAGAAGACGGAGGAGATATAATTGCTAGAACAGGAACAACGACCAAAACGAAAAGTAAATAAATTATGTCGAGTAAACAAAAGTTTATTGTTAAATATAAAAATATAATCTAAATATCATATTTTATTGATCAAATGCAATAATTTTACAGATCAATTTAATATAAATTATATTAATATAATCATTGATAAAAATGTTTGTAAAATAAATTTTTATACTCTTAATTATTTGAAAATTTATTTATTAAAATAAATACAGCTTTAATGATAATGTATTTATTTCAGTGCAAACGGTCGAAGGCGAGTTTTTAGTATTATCTAAAGTGACAAGATCGGAAATGGGAGCATACTTATGCATAGCAGCCAATGGTGTGCCCCCATCAGTGAGCAAAAGGCTAATGTTACATGTTCACTGTAAGTACTTACATATATGGCTTTGGTGTAATAATATATATTATCAGAAGTACATACTACAAATAGTTTTTATTGAACTTTTTTGAAATGATGAAAAAATGTTTGTAGTGGAAGAAAATACAAAAGAGAGAGTAAGAGAGAATCCGCATGATTTTTTAGTCTCCCGCCGGCGATTGTTCAAGAGTGACAGCCAAACAGATTTAAAGTTATTTTTTCATCCAATCGTTAGGGTTATTCGTCTGATTGGCATTTATCACTGATATCACGGTAAAAATTCCGTTGACGAAGTATACAAAAGAATATTAATAACGTCCATCAATAAATATACATACATTGATACATCACTCTTTTCATTGCACTCAATACTCCAATATATTATGATATAATATAGAGAACGAATAAGGGAATAGGAGGCTGTCGGCAAAAACTATTTTTCGCTTTAGAAATACCGTAAAGTCAGTGCAAAAAATATAATAACTCATCCTTCACAAATCAAATTCACTCGTTTTTTTATATTATAGAGAGATATCCAATGAAGTATTGTTCACTGGATGCTATTTTGTATGATCTAACTATGCACCCACGTAAAAAATACAGATGGTTTATTTTACTTTCTCTACTGTTGATTTACAATTAAATATTGAAAAATTTAATTTCTCTAAAACACAGTCTATATATGTGGGAATAACGTACTATTTAACAATTACTGTATTTTANTAAAAAATACAGATGGTTTATTTTACTTTCTCTACTGTTGATTTACAATTAAATATTGAAAAATTTAATTTCTCTAAAACACTTACAGTCTATATATGTGGGAATAACGTACTATTTAACAATTACTGTATTTCATAGTATCAAACAAAAGAATAAAATTATTTGAAAAATCGCCGGGTCCTTTGTTACATATAATTATTATAAGTAATATTCTAAGAATTTTCTAGGTTCAAAAATATTCCGATATTTTACTGTACAATTTTCGCAAAAATATAAAATCCAAAAATTGTTATATAGCACATTATTTTTACCCAGGCTTTATTTGCAAATTTTATTTCTAAACAAATTTTTTTATACTACTGTAAATATAGACATTTTTAATTTACTTTTTTTCTAAGTTAAGTATAATTTTATTTCTTATATTTGTAAGAGGTAAAATGTTAAATTTTCATTTGTAATATAATAGTACAATAGGGTAATGATACAAGTGAATGACAAGTCTTAAAAGAGAATATATTTTTAAATACCAACAGAAAAGATTTTTTACTGTTCAAGAACATGTAGCAAAACTGTAGTAAAACTTCTGTAATTCAATAAAATTTTAAATCGAAGTTGTTTTCACTTGAATTGAATAAAAAAAAATTAATTATTTAATTCCTTATAAATCTAGTTAGTGTATAATACAATATTCTAGTGTATGTCAATATCAGATTAAACCGTGATTGTTTAAAATTTGTATCATTTTCAATTATTATAATTCTATAGTATAACATTATTCAAATCTATTCAGGGGGTCTTAAAATATGACAAAAATCATGAGTGTCATTTACTGGTATAGTGTCATACACTGTTTTTTTTACCCTATTACAAATATATTTTAAAATTGCGAAAATACGCAATTTAATTAAATTTTATTGAAATTTCAAAATATCAATTTTTTAGCTCTATTCTTAAAAAACATTAAATGGGTCCATTGCAACTTAAGAATAAGTACTTATATTAAATTACAAGGACTTTAATATATTAGGTATGTAGCGCAGATGGGTACAGCTCGTATATTTATAAGACTAATCAAACCCGGCGCCATAAATTTGACTCCTCTGCTAGGTACCTTACCAAGTAGTATATTAGATAACTTTAAACTCACAATAATCATTCCTTGCTTATTGATTTTGGATTAATTTTTACAAAATTCTACAATTTCTTATCGTTTTGTATCTATAAAACTATGCATAATTGATGGACTTGTTTTTTTTAAATATTGACATTTTAATCTTCGACTAATAGGAATAAAAGCGGACAAAAAATCAAGTAGTTGGTTCTGATTTAGGCAAAAGTAATTCCGCTTCAAATATAGTCACAGCAATTATTTCACACATGCAATGTGTTCAAACAAAAAAAAAATTGTCCAACTTCTGTTCTAAACAAACGACATAAGCTCCTTTATTTTTTGAAGATGTATCAAAACACATTGCAACGACGCTTACTTAAATTCCAAGTTTTGATCACTTAAACTATTAAAAACTGCCGTAGTATGCATTTCACAGGTCGACGATATTTCTCACGATTTTTCTCTACCACTTTATGAAACAAGTATTTGAAAGCTATCAACATGTTTCTATGTTGTGTGAGGTCGAACATTAGTTTTCTGATTCAATGAACTGTTAATTTGCTACTCGTTGAAAATTATGTTTTTTTTTAATTAGCTACTTATTGTCTATATTTAACTCGGTATCGTTTTATTGTACTGCAATTACATAACAACCTACACTGAGAAATCTTATGTGAAGGCTCAATATACATGTATAATACTATTTGTCGAATTTTTATTCAGAATTTCTATTAAACTACTTCACATGATTATAAACAGTAAAAATATTTAAAATAAAAATTTTTATTCTTAAAAATGCAAATTAACTACATTTATTTTATAATTAATACATTTTTATCAAAACACTTTTTTTTTTTATAAGAATTGTTCATAGGCTAAAGAAAATAATTAAGAGTGATATTAGAAAGAAATGTCACACATTAAATTTTTTGAACCACTCTAGAATATATGAGAGTTTTAACTTCCATCAAAGTGTCATATAGTTTCATTTATTTGTTGACTAAAAATCCTAGATTGGACAACATGACTTTTTTGTTACCTGTTATATTCATTGATTAACCAATAATACACAGTTGTACAGCATGATGACTTTTTTTATCATTTGTAAGGTACACGACCCCAGTATCTCTCGTACATTGCATTTGAAATAGTACAACTTGTTGGGTTTTTTAGATGTCAGTTCAATAGAGTGGAGACTCCAGTAAATAACATACATGACAGTATAATGTACGAATAGTGCGTGTAAAATGCATCACATTTGTCAACTCCACGGCCACGGTTAGATATACGGATGGGGTCGATAATTAATTAGGGAGGGCTGTTGTCTTGCTATTGCAGTTGTGACGAGACAAACGTTAATCTGTTTGTCTCGTATAGAATGTGTTGTTTAAAAGGGCTGTTCATTAGGACCCGTTGACGTTTTCGGCCGCTATAATGGAATTTGCCCTGACCTCTCTACTCTCCCCTTGACTCTTGGAATAAATGGTCGCCAAACAAACCACTCGTGTTTTATGCTATGGGCGAGGTGCTATACTATCGCGAACGACAAACGGTCGTGAGAGCAGTGTGTGTGCATTACAATAAATTCGTATTTGAAATTTAGTTATTGCTTGTTTCGAATAATTTAATTATTCTTAAATTACGATCCTCATTTCCGTTCGTCCGCGAGAAAAACCCAACAAATATAGCCAAATTTATACTCGCTAATAATTCAGAGAATTCCCTACAACCGTATTTACACTGATGCAGTCAGTACTTGGTTCAACACTGCTTAATTTTTACAATACAACAACATGCTTTTTCTGTAAGAAACCTATTGATTTTCCGAGCTACAAATATCCACAGCTTCTAATTATATTACTCGACAAGTAGTTTAATCATTCCGCCAGTCTCGGTACATTTTCAGCATACCTAAACAACGTACAACAAAGTCGGAAACAGTGCTTCAAAGGCTGTACGCACGAACAACATAATATGAATATCATTCGTTTGCTTTGTAGATCACGGTCAACGCGACACCACTAGAATTCATACATCAAAAACACATACATGCATGCGTAATTTAAATATTTTTCTGCAAACAGAAAAGTTTTAGTATTCAAGACTGCAGTTGAAAATAGTAATTATAGTTTATACATCTTTTGTATTATATTGCAGCTTAAAAAAAAAAATCATTTTTTAAATTATCTTGAAAATTATTTACGGTATTACTATTCCCTAGAACCAGTGTAGGCATAGTAGGGGTGTGCAAAAAGTACAGCCGCACAGGGCCGGTCGTACGGCAATGAGTACTTCTAATAAAAATATTCAATTCAAACAAATTCCGTATCATACAGGAAAATCAAATAAATTTATAAAATTTTGATTGGTAATAAAATAATTATTTATATTCCATTGTAGCTCTTAATAAAAAAATATTGTATAACCAAACAAACATAACGGACAATGAGTTATTCGACTATGGACACGCAAACGTATTTACAGATGCACCATAATTGCCTACACGTGTCGCCGTCACATATTTAAATTAAAAATTGTTTGATCAATTCTAAAATTGATTCTACAAAGCGTATTGATGTTTTATTCACATTTGATACAGTCAACAAACAATACACTTTACCAATGCTTGTCTTTTGTTTTATATCGAAGCAATTATGTTGCATACTCCAACACAAATAAAATTATGTAGTGAAAGAGCATGAAGAATTAATTGTAAAATACAATTTCTACAGTACATACCACATAATACCCGCATACTTTACCTAATGTAAGAGAAATGCTTAGTGTGTAGGAAACTGGACCGTGATGATTACTTTAAAAATCCTTTTAAGTCAGTTGAGTTACGGTTTGTAGATAATTTTATACTCAAGACCGTGTATCGGATTACTGCGGTTGGTTATTTGAATTTCCTTTCGTTGAATAATATTTAAATAAAATATATGACTATGAAACTTGCCTCTCGTGTAAAATATCTTAGTAGATATACTTATGTCAACTAAAGTACAATAATGATACGACATAGTGGGGTACTGGCATATAGGCAACCATTATAGATTGAAATCTGACAGTGATTAAAATTACTATCATCGACCACTTCAATGCGGCTGTACTTAAACGAAGTTTGAATATTCTAAATCTTAGTTAGTTGACAATAATTTCATTACGAATTGAAATTATAATTTATCAAATCCTTTGTTAGCTAGAACATGTATTTTTTCGAAGGGAGTCTCCTTTCTTTTTATAAGCTTATTAGATGACACTAAAATCCTCTCTAAAAATATTTTTAATTAAGAACACTTAAATCTTATTAATTTTGCGAGAGAGAGCCAAATTTGATTAAATGGGGTTACTAAACATGTTCAAATAGTAAATGTTTATAGTATTTGACTTCAATTATAGCACTAATAGTTGAAAAAAAATTATAGTAGAATATATTACAATAAGAAAATCAAAAGTGGTTTATATCATTGTAAAGAATTGTTTCGAAAATAATTTGGATATATGTTAGTAATAATAATATTCTCACTTAAATATCTATCATTAACTAAATTGTACATAACTTAACCAGAAATAAAATTCTATAACTGTAATATTGAAAAATAATTGAGCTACAATCTTATTTTATGAAATAATAATTTACAGTTTGAGTTGAAAATATATACTATTTTCAATGTTTCTCAAGAAACAATTTTTTTTATTTAACTAAATATTAGACACTATTAAAAGTATTATAATTATAAATCCTATTTTTTATGGAAACGACCGTTTTTCTTTATTTACACTTATAAAATAATTAAATAATTTAAGTAACAACACTTCTCTATCTAATATCTGCTAAATATTCTAAAAGGAATAATGCATTTTCAATTACCCCATTCGTCTACATTTACCCTATTTTACTATTACTAAAAACCTTATTAAATCATTGAATCGTGGAAAAAAAAATAAGAGAAGTCCCAATTTAAAAAGTTGACGTTATGATATTAGTACACAATAATTATTATTAAAAAATTACCTAAACCTAAATCCTTTTTAGTGTAACCCATAGCGCAAAATAAATTATAAATGGACGTATAATGTAAAAATTTTATAAAACAAAGAATGTAAAAAATGACACCTGAATAAATAATCTTTACGCAAATAATGCAAATTTTAGGCGGAAAAACGTCAAAAAAAACAATTGCATAAGTAATGGCAATCGATTTTGCAATCTGGTTTCGGTTGAAACTTCCAGTTTTTAATTAAAAACTTCATCCAGCAGTCAACGAGTTAGTTAGTTAGCAATTTTTATGTTGGAAAAAAAATAAGTGAACAGTTGAGGTGGTTATTACAAGTTAAAAGAAAGGCGTAGACGAGGACGAAGACAAGGAAAGGAAAATATCAAACATAATTTCTAACAAATTGTAATATTTATCAAAAACTTCGAAGTAGCGACCATGACTCTACTTAAACCAATTAATAGCATGACCTTTTTCTTTTAAACCCGTGTATAAACACTAAATTTTTAAGATAGCAGATCATGGTTTTCCGACGAAACAAAATACATTGGTTTTTACATACTTGTCAGAAATGAAATTCCTACTGAATAGTTATCATCGTGGGTTATGCTTGGATATATAGAAAGTTTAAAAAAGGGAAACATACTACTAAAACGAGTAGCAATAAATATTCTATAACGTTGAAGTCTCAAAATACATATAAACATTATAGATGTAATAAATATAAGAATTCAATGAATATGTAACATATTTCCTCTTTACTCATTTCGACTAATCTAAGTTTATCATTCTCATTTCATCTTGTATTTGTAAATTAAGTTTATCGATTGTATTCTTGTTTTCTATAAATCTATACTTAAATTACATTTTCACTGTTTTTAAACAATAAACTGATAAAAATTCTATACTTTGATATTTGACAGTTCATCCTTTGGTGCAAGTTCCGAATCAACTGGTAGGCGCACCGCCCAGAACAGATATAACACTTCAGTGTTATGTGGAAGCTTCGCCAAAATCTATTAACTACTGGACTAGAGAATCAGGTTAGTAACTAATACAATGTATAATAATAATATACAATAGTCATGTTAATATAAAAATACTGTGTTTATAATTCAACTCAAAATAACATGTTATATCAATTATCCAACTCAGGGACCATTTTAACGCATTAATACAAATTAAAAATGTATATTCTAACGTAATAAATGGCTAACTAAATAGAATTCATAACTGCGTTAAATACATAATATATGTATGAGAAATAAAAAGAATATCCGGATGAATTAACAATAATAATAATAAAAAAAATTGTCGCCAACCTTTTTTTTTTTTAATTTGACGATACGTACGCATGTACAATAGAGAACACAAAGGCCGAATGCAATATATTATAATATCATCCTGAAAGGGATATTATACCTGGGACAGAGAAAGGACGTGAAAAGTCGGAAAGAGGAAAAGAGAAGGGGGCAAATAGGTTGACATTATAATTGTATTGGTTCAAAGGCCAAACGGGCCGCCGTCGTATACTGTTAGTGCTGGTGCAAAATCTGCGACCCGACTCCAATGTTATCTCTCTTCCATTCCCATAGCTGCAAACACACTTCTATACATGTACCTCTACGGTGTGCTTTTAAAAACCTCCCCAACCACTTTGTTCAAAGCCATGCTAATAAATGTAATTTACATATTTTTCAAATAATTCTATCCGGCCCCACACCGTTATTCCATGCAGAAGTGTAGTACTGCTACCGCTATAAAATTACTGTTAGAGCAATGTCCCTTGTCCTACTTTCATCCCATCACCTAATGATGCTACATCCGGTTTAGCACTACAATGTACGTACATAAAAAAAATGACAATTATATTATCTCTCTTATAATTTTACTTATACGATTATTGATATATGTAAGATTTTATAAAATTATATAAAAAAAAAAATTAATACTCAATTGACTAAAAATTACTATTTTAATATTTGTTAAACATTTATTCTCTTTGTAACTAAATCATAATAATATTATTTTTTCATTTATAAGTAAATATTTTTTATTAAAATAACACTATATAACATTTTGTTGTGCCAAACAGTATTTAGTACATTCTGAATAAAATTTCGTCACCAATTCTGAATCTAGATTTAAAATGTTCAGATTAATTCTAATTTTTGAAATAATCGCTAATTAATGAAAATCATATAAATAAGTAAATAATTTCTCATTAAAAAAAATTATTTTTTCTAAAAACCCCATTTAAAATTTTAACGGGCATGTTTAAGAGATACTTGCGAAATTTGAGATCTATATTTTAACTTAAAGCTATTACACATGAACCTCAATGTTAATTTTGACAGTTATTTTATAAAAATCAAAGTTGAACTTTTCTCTCTACCTTTTTTTTTGCTTGAACATTATATATTTTTTTGTGGTAGATAGAATATTTTATAAGGATTATAAAAAGCAATTTTTATGTTTCTAGCATAACTATATACCGAAATAACCGTTGTTAACAGTGTTAACAACGATAAATTTTTTCACTGTTAAGTTAATAACTTAACAGTGAAAAAATTAGAAAAGCTCAAAATGTTGATATTATTACAATATTTTTATAAAAATGATCTTTAATTCTAAAATAAAATATATTTTTAAATAAATATTTTACATATTCTTATAGTTTTTGATGCTGAATAAAATAGTTTAATTAAATTTCATGTATCATCATTAGATAAGTTATAAAGGTATACAATCCCATTAATATTTAGAATACACTGTATAACTTAATTAAAAACTTGTATAAAATTGCTAATTTATTTTAAATTAATTAATTTTTGATACTGGGATTCTAATTTAAATTAAAAATATATTTTTAAAATATTAAATTGTCTCCTTAATTTTTTTTGTTTTAGGAGAGATGATAATATCAAACGACAAATACAACATGACTGAATTAGCAGTATCATACTACAGTTCTCAGATGAGATTGACTATAAGAAGACTAAAAAAATCGGATTTAGGTGGTTATAAATGTATATCGAAAAATTCTATCGGTGAAGCAGAAGGCAATATTAGAGTTTATGGTAAATGTTTCAGGATTACTTTAAATATTAATTTTAGCATTTATATATGAGATTTACACGACCCTCGAAACCAATAGTCAAGACAGTACGTACAATAAAGTAGTTTTGGGGAAAATCATTTTTTTCTTAACTATTTTGTAATTATTACCACACAAACAAAATTAATAATTGTTATAAAAAAACTTTTTCGTTAGAATCCAATAATACAAATGGATTAACAAAATAATACTATTAAAAACTTCTCAACACAAATACTTACTTTTTACTCAGAAATTTTTTTAAAATATTTTACATAACCAGCATTAATTGAATAATATTCTTTTATATAAAATAATAAATTAAAACAGATATTTTACGGTAATTAAATATCAATCTAAATTGAAGTTTCGAATTAATTTTTAACTTAACAGGTTGTAATAAATTCTTTGTTGAAATATTAATATAATTAAAATTATGTACCTACACACAGTTGTAAAATCCTTATCAAATACTGCATATGTATTTTCTCCCTACCCTAAAAAACATTAAACATGTACATGACAATATACATTAAGTGGATAGTAAAATAAAATATTTAAAAAAATATTTGTCTCCCCCATGAAAAATTTCTGCTGAAGACCTTGGGTTCATCCAAACTGCAGATTAAACTTCAATAATTTTTAAATTTAAAATGTTTTAGAAATGGACTTAACCAAATCTAAGACTCCTGGTGAAGAAGATAGGGATAATACTATAAACGTATCAAATTTTGACGAAGAAGAATACAATGGACAAAATTCTACAAACAACGTTCCATCCTACAAAGACCAAACTCATCGTTTACACAGATCGTCGGCAAATTCAAAAAAGAATATTGGGATGAACATGATTTCTTTAGCTTTACCAGTAATTCTGTCACTAACACAACAAAAAATAATGCAATTGACTAGAAAATGAAAATCATTATTTTAAATACTATACTTGTAAATAATTATAAATAACATAATTAACATTTTAATAAAAATTTTACCATTCGATGAGTCATTGCGAACAATGAGCCTCATTCTTTTTTTTTTTAATTAATTACAATTATTATTCTATCTTAATGAAAAATGTACGATTCCTAAAACTTATATTATTTGGGACCGGAATTATATGCATTTATAAATTTAGTAAGTTATTCTGAACTCGCCATCAGCCATTACATATTTTTATTAACCGACTTGAAAACTTAGTTATGTGTTATTACCAGGATTGTTGCTTAGAGGATAGGGGGTTCTTACTCCCTAAAATAAAAAATATTTCTTTGCTATTATATAATCATATGGCAAAGTTGCACAAATTTAGGACCCTTCAAAGTGGCTCAAACACAATTTATAAATGCATATATTCTGAGCTTTACATGTTATTTAATGTTCAGTAAGTAAGGAAATGGGTTTCTATTGTTCTCATTGTTTATAACAATTTACCTGTTTCCTTACTTACTGAAAACCCTGTATATATGGTTATGCAAAACAATTATTTCAATAAATTCTATTTAAAAAAAAAAAGTTTAAAAACAAACAAATGCCATTTATTTATTACATCAAATATTTGAAGAATAAAAATAGCTCTCTCAACCAAAAAACTTAACCATTTTATTAACTACAGATGCTGAAGGAACAGGTAAAATAACATATAACCCCTATTTTTGAAAGGAGATCATAAATACTTGACCATAAAACGTCGGATAAATGAATATTCAAACATGAAACTATTGCAGTGGATTTCCCACAAATTTTTGAATATTAAGAATGTATTTATATGTACATTTTACAACTTAAATATTAATATTAATTTTATTATTATATGTATAATGTAACATCATAATTCATAAGTAAAAATTGTTTAAGTAATAAAAAATTGATATTGTATTATTACACATTGTTATTGTTGATATTTCATTAAGTATACAAATTTCAAAGATGAACTAAAATAATAACTTATAGTGAGTTGTTTAAATTAAAATTAAATTTAAAAAATTATAGAAGAGTGATTGGTTTATCATAAAACCATCTCAAAATAAATATAATTTTGAAAAAAAAAATTTGACTGTTTTTTTAGTTACATATATTTTTTTGATTTATCAGCTAATAATTACTTTTTAGCATCATTCTTTATTAACATATAGGGTGTTAACTTATTTTTTCAATTAGCAATGTACAAAGTTAACTAGCTTATTTAATATATAATAATGTAATTAAGAAAATGACTGGTTGTTAACAAATTTTGGACCAGTATTTCATAAGTTATAAACAATTTAAAGTTATGACTAGAGGTTTTAAGAAATTTAAGTAACTAAAAAAACCATAAACTTTTTTCAATATCTTATTTATTTTGCGATTAAGAGTGTGGTTTATGATAAAAAATCACCCTATAAGTAAAGCTGTAGCTACAATTTATCAACCCCAAATAACACAAAAAATATGCATGCAATATACGGTCTTAGGTCAATTACTTTAAAAATATTCATACATTTAAGATAAATATTTTAAAAGAAAAAGCAAATTTATAACACTAAATTATTTTCTTAAAGAATCAAATTTTTTCAGACCATCCATTAAAACATTCATAGTTATTCCTTTTTTAACTAAAACACAAACCATTCCAAGGCGCTCCAAATCAACAATATTCCGGTGCTCATCATCAAAAAATACCATGTCTTCTAAGTCTACATTGGTAGCTTTACTTATTCTATTAAAAAACAACAAATATATAATAATTAAAATTATAAAATTCATAATAGGAAGTGAAAATTATTGCATTCCATATAATATTATTAAATATTTTCTTGTCAACTAAATATTACAGAAATCAGTACTAATATATAAAAGATATGAATCCAAAAATATCTTAAACAAATTATATTCACAAATAATAATTTATAGTACAATACAAGTTATAATAATGAATTTTTTATAATAATTAATTTGATGCTTATTAAATATGCCAATTTGAATATATTTATTATTATTAACGTTTTATAATCTTACTAATTAATATAATACAATAGCTAATAAAAAAAATTGTCATTGATGTGAGATGTCAATTTTAAATATTTTAGGATACACAGATTATCTGAAAAACAATCACTGATAGGGTAATTCTGAGGTCATTTTAAGAACTAACAATCCTGAACAACTTAAAAATGACTCCCTTCACAATCCAAAACTGACATTTTTTTTTTTTAGCCAATGAAATTGAAACGAATAAAATAATATCATTTTACAACACTATCAAGTAAGCTAAAAAACAGAAGGTAATTTTTTTTTTATTTCAATTAGTTTTTTTAATGGAAAAATCTAGTAAAAATTCTAATCATGAATTAAATAATAAATTATATCAACCAATTCCTTAAAGAAAATTCTAAAGTAGGGAATACAACTCTCCAAAAGTAATTATTTATAACAAAATCTATATAATTTTAATGAAAATTTATAGGACATATGATATGTGTTACACTGTCATCCACATATTAGAAATTAAAATATATATATATATATATATATATTCAGTATTATGTATTTTTTTATGTAGAATTTTGTACATATGAAATTAATTTTTATACAACCATCATTATCCCAAGAAAATAGCTTTTTTGCTCTGGGTACCATCTTAAAATTTCCCAGCACCCACATTTGAAAATGTTAGACATTAACTAAATTAAATCTGTTGAAAATTTATATAGTTAAATAATATGTTCAATCATTAATAGTGTAATTTAGAAAATAAGTTATTAAGATTGTAAACCGCAAATCTTGATTAATATTATTTATTGTCTGGGTACCACAAATTAACTTCAATTTTCCTGTGTTGTTCTCTACATCAGTTTTTGGGTACAACTTGAGGGATTGATCCATAAGTCCTACCACTGGTTCAGATCCGACAGATGTTTTCTGCATCTTTCCTCACTAGATAGTCTGCTTTTTCATTATCAGTCACAGCGCTATATCCTGGTATCCATGCTAGTGTAACTTTATTGAACCTTGCTAGTGATTTTTAAGTTTCCTTGTATTAAAGGATTAGCCTTGAAGTCACTTGGTTATTACTAAGTATCTTCAGAGCAGCTTGACTATTATATACTGATTGTTATGTTTGTTTTCTTGAATATTAGCAGGTTTTGAACCCCTATTAGTATTGTCATTACCTGTGCTGTAGCCTTGGTATGAGCTTTAATCTCTAGGTGTAAAAAAGGTAGTCTAATTAGTGCTTCCAGTGCCACCGTTGGTGTGGTTCTTATTGCTCCTGTAATAACTATAGCAGCCATTCTTTGGATACGTTTAAGTACTTTCCTATATATATA